GTAGCTTACACTCAGTAAATCAGATACACTGTGCCAGTTAAATAGTTTTTATTCCAGTCAGAGTTATAGCATAGTCAAACAGTCCATATATCATACACTAGTTCAGTCCGTCCGGGGATTATTCATTAGCAAAGTCCAGTGTCGAAAAAGAGGTCAGTAAACTTACAAATAATCAGTCCAGTAATATATCTCTTTTTGCAGTAGAGATATGAAGAAAATCAAACCTCTTTTCTTCGTTCAGCAATAGCAGGGGAAAAACACGCAGTTATCACCATCAATCCATCATTGTCAGCAATCCAGTAAAAGCCAGCAAACAGTGAGCTCTCTTGCTCCCTCTGATGGTGCTTTACAGCCGCACCCAAAATTACATGCTCTGCATTTAAAGTGACACACACAATCATAGTCTATATATATTATTTTACCCAAACTAAGTTAGGTAACCATGTTATTCCTAACAGGCTGGACTAGAAGACCCCCCCAATGCCCCTTCCAACCCTCTTATTCCGTTAACGTGCTGCTGGATGGTATCATTTCTTAACGTGGGATGCTGTTCCTTTTTCTTTTTTTTCCCCAGATTGCCCTGGCTAGTTTCTACGAAGATGGTGGTGACGAAGACATCATGACCCTCCCACAACCAACCTCCAGCTCGGTTACCAGAGGCACTGCAGCCAGGTGACGTAACCTTACCTGTCTTTGCGGGAGTCAACGTGAGATCATAACGTTGGATTCTTCTCTGGTGGGAAAAAAAACCATTGGGTTCAGGTCTTGGAGAGCCGAGCAGGGTCTGCCAGGGAGGTGTATGATTCGTAGCAACGGCATTTCCTAAACAAGGAGCTTCTGTGAAAATGGCTCTCAGTGAGGATGTGTGTCATGTCCCTGTCGGAATCTGATTCAGAGGGGGAGGCCGAGCAGCTGACGGAGTGGGAGTGTGGCTCCGTTGGCTGTGGAAGAAACTGGGGAAGGGCAAAGTCTGGCTGGGCAGAGCAGGGGAGAGGTGGAACAAGGGAGAGTGAGATCAGAGGAAGACCCAGGCCCACCCTCTCTTCATGCTAGGGTACGCAGGGAGGAACGGAGAAGGGAGCAACGTGAGTTGCGTGGCTTACGGGGAGGAAAGGGCCCTGATTCCCTTCATTAGCTGCAGCTGGAACACAGTGTTTAAAAGGGAGATTGCACACAGCAACTTGTTGAAATTGTGAGTTATCGGTTATTGTCAAGGCTTATCTGGGTTCCTGGCGTCTTCCCAACTGTGTGAGTTTTGTTGGCCTTTCAAGTCTTGCAATTCCTTCTCCTGCCCAGTCAAGTTAATTACTGTAGCGTGGTTTGTTTGGATTTTTAGTTACAGTTTGTATGTACTTTCAGTTTGTATGTACTTTGTTTTCGGACTGAATTTCCTCCACTTAAAGGCTGTTCCTGGGAGAGTTTTTCTCCAGCCAAAGGTAACCTGTACATCGGGAGCAAAATTGGAGGTTCTTAAGTTATGTGACTGTATTGCCTTTGTGCCACGCTCTGGGGTCATCACAGTGTGATTTTATGGGTAGTCCTTGACTTACGACTGCAACCGAACCCAACATTGGCGTTGTTGAGCAACATAGTGATTAAATGAACTAAATGCCCCATGTTGCAACCACTCTTGCCTCAGTTGTTAAGCGAATCAGAGCGGTTAAGTGAGTCACACTGTCATTAAGTGAATCTGGCTCCCCCATTGGTTTTGCTTGGCAGATCACCACAAAAAGGGATTATATTTTCCCGAGACACTGCAACCGTCATAAATATGAGCCGGTTGCCAAGCTCTGAATCATGATCACATGACCATTGGGATGCGGCAACTGTCGCAAGTGTGAAAAAGTGGTTGTAATTCACTTTTTTCAGTGCCATTGTAACCGAACGGTCACTAAATGAACTGTTGTAAGTCGAGAGACTGGATTTAAAACTATTCACCAGAGTGATTTTTGTGTCAAGACCACCAGAATCGGTAGCGTATTGTAGAGTTTAATACTTCTTGCATGATAATTTTTGTGCATCATATTAGATGAGGTACTATATTTAATTATTACATTTATTTTCTGTAGGTTGTAGTGTAGCCCAGCACCACATTATTTGCATGTGGTTGGTCTTCTTCTGAAGACACTAATGTTCCGTTGCAGGGATATCACATTTGCAATCTCTGTAAACTCATGCTCAGCCACATCAGGGTCATGAGGAAGAATAGCCAAGCCAGCATCCTGGCTGGGGAATTCTGGGAGTTGAAGTCCACCCATCTTAAAAGCCTGCTGGCTGGGGAATTCTGGGAGTGGAACTGCACCTGTGTTAAATCCTGCTGGCTGGGGAATTCTGTGAATTGAACTTGACCCATCGTAAGGCACGCTGGCTGGGGAATTCTGGGAGTTGAAGTCCACTCATGTTAAATCCTGCTGGCTGGGGAATTCTGGGAGCTGAACTCCAATCTTAAAGCCTGCTGGCTGGGGAATTCTGGTAATTGAACTCCAATATTAAAGCATGCTGACTGGAGAATTCTGGGAGTGGAAGTCCACCCATCTTAAATCCTGCTGGCTGGGGAATTCTGGGAGTTGAACTCCATAATCTTAAACCTT